GAACTGCAGACAATAACTGCAGCAAAAATTTGGAATATCCAGCACAGCAGAACTCTCAGACATCACCTTAAGTGGTCTCCTTGGGAAGTTGGGGCAGCAGTTACCACCACACTGACCATAAAACCCTGGGCGCCCTGTTCTGCCTCCCTGTCCAGCTCCCATGGAGATGAAAGGATATTTGTGCTAAATGATCTGAGGTAATGCTGACAGGAAGAATTGCTTCTTCCAATATTTCTTCAATTTGGACTGTGAAATTATTTTGGAGAGATACTTTAAAAAAAAAATCAGCTAGCCCTATGAAATCAGGGAAAAATTACTGACTGTAGGCTGCCTTCTGGATATAATAGTTAATATATTTAAATTACCAAAATGGGACAGTATATTTGGTAAATAGTACCTGTTATGCAAATTATTTGCACTTATCCGTTCCAGAAGAGGAAGCTTTTTGAAGCCATAATACTTTTTAGCAGGGATATTACCATATTTCTTACCACCAGCTCCCAGCTAATAATGAATACTAGAAATAATGAACACTAAGATTTGGGCTCTACATACAAATTTTTTTAGGATTTTGGAGGATTTTCCAAAGTTCCCAGGAAGTTAGGAACCCAAGTTATTGTGTGTCAGACTTTGGAAAGACAATAAGAAATTAATCCTGGTGTTGCATATTTGTTTAGGTTTTTTTAATATCCTAATTATATTTAAATTTTATTTTCAAAGCAGAAATTTCTATTTCCGAGAAAACATAAGTAGTATGAAGGACAATTCTGATTTTTCTACCAATTATCTTCTGTTTGTTTCAAGGCTTGTAAAGTATTTTTAGATTTAACTCCTGATTAGCCAGTTAGGTATAGCAGACATGAATTTGTCAATTACACAATTTTACCAAATATGAGTCATATTACTGCTTGATTGATTGCTTTACTTACCTCTTTCTATCACAGGGCTACCATGAGGATTCATTAGCTAAGTCTGTCTAGATCATTAGAGGTGGGAAGTGTGGAATGATGTTACTACTGCTACTACTGCACTATTATTACTATTATTTTTTTTTAAATTATTATTTTTATTTTTATTTTTATTTTTATTGCTGCTGAATGAAGAATATGAAAAGTCAAACAAAGCGTTGTGTGGTTCAGACACAAAGATAGAAAATAACACTGGAAAAAAAGAGAAGGTCATCACATTGTTCAGAGTAAGACTGGAGGGCAATGATCACGCTATTTCAGAAAGAGCTCATCAGAAATAATCCCCCTTTCTCCTCTTCCCCTTCTTCAGTTTCACACACATTTCTTTTGGGGGATGGGGAAGGCAGGCTGTGCATTGCTTTTCCTATTTCTAGCAGGATTTTTTGCTCTGAGAAAGTTCCTTCATCCTCCAAGCAATTGTTCCTCCTGTAAGAAAAAGACATTATCTCCTGCCCTTGAGTACCATTGCAACTTTCAGTAGGAAAAAGACGGGCGAGACAAACCTTTACATGTGTCTGTATTGATCAGACAACTCTGCCACCCCTTCCCATGCTCTAGATGGCTTTTCCAGGGCCTCTCCACCTGTTCCCAGCACTGGGATGGTGACTGCATGTTCCTATTTCTTGGGGTGCTGCTCAAGGGCAGGAACCAGTCTGGTAGCACCTCCTGGTCTCCTCAGAAGATAAATATTTGAGCAACAGAAAAGACAGCAGGAAAGAAGGAATGAATCCTTAAAATGGATGGGGAAAAGCTCTAAATGCTGAGGCAAAGGTCATGCAAAGGAAGCAAGAGAAGCAGAAGGAAGTACGTCCTTTCAGCTAAGGGAGGGAAAAGCTCCTCTCTGTCCCCTTGGATCAGTCTGATATAATAAGGCTGCTGCCTTCCTGATTAGTGCTCTGTAGCCCCAGCCCAGGCAGGGAAAATCTGCATTTCAAATGGCATATTTTAAAGTACACAATACCCAGGGGCCCTGCTGCTATTGATTTGCCTCTGGTGGGGTCACTGCCTCACTTTCTACAGCTTTATTAACTGGGACCATGCACTGGATCTCTTTCAAAGTGAAAGGAGAGTGGATGGGACATTTGTCTTCAGGGGGAGCTGGGGAAGGAGTGGGGTGACTTTCACTGGGAATGCCTTGGAGGTTTTAGAAGGAAGACTGGTGACCCTAACAGGACTTGTTCTCCTCCTGTAAATTTCCCTAGAGCCACCCTGAGGGGGAGGCAGGTAGGTCTTATGCAGTCAGCTCCTTTCAAGGTGACTGAATTCCTGTCCTCCCACCCTCGTGCTGCCATTGCACTCAGCCAAGGTCTGACCATCAACCACTGGGCTGGGTAGGAGCCCCCTCTTCCTCTCCCCTAACCTCTGCCCCTGAGCACCTCCAAACAGAGTGGCATGGGCACAAATGGGATCCGTGACCTCAGAAGTTCAGCAGGAAATTTGTCAAGGGTTGAAAACGTCCAGACATTCCTGGGCCTTGGTTGAGGCCACCTCTCCAGCCAAGGAAGCAAAGCCATCAGCTGGGGTGCACAGCTTGCTCAGGTGTGGAATGCTCTGTTCCTTCCAGCTCCAGGCAACTCCACTTTTACCCTGTTGACTTGGTCTGAAGGCTGCAGAGAGGTCTGTGTCCTCTGGGTCATGATGTGAAGGGCTCATTTCAACATTCAGAGGGGTTCCCAGGTCTCTAAGACATCTCAGAGAGTTCATCCACAGAGCACTGAGCATAATAGATATTGGGTGACTGTTCCCTGCACAAGCATCTCTGCTTTGTAGCAGAAGCACCTGATCTAGTTTCCCCTGTCACGGGTTAGGATTTTTACCACATCAAAGTGAAGAGGGGTAAGAAAGTGCTAGAGGCTATAAAACTATTTATTAAAAATCTACAGAGCTACAAATATGTGAAAAATATATTTTTGAAAACAAGAACAAATCTTTAGGTGCCACTCAGGTAAAAATACCCAGAACAGAAAATGAGATGTGAGTCAGCGCACCTAGTGTTGGAGTCAATCCAGTGTCAAAGATGGGTGGATGGATTCCCCTTCCTCCTTTACTTCCTTGGCATACCTTCTAATATTGCCTGCTCAGTACCTCCTCTGGAGAATAAACTCAGATGATGCCCAAGAACAAATGTACTCCTTAAAGGAGAATCAACATGGTATATAATACAAAAGATTGTCTAATTACTCCATCAGTAATTGCAAAGAGCAAAATATCACTAATTAAAATGTAAACGTGCCTTATGCAGGGTAAAATAAAACAGGGTGATTAACCATCGAAGGGAAAGCCACCACTTTGCCACCAATCTTTATTAGGCTTCAAAAAATAATAATACTGAAATCCAGTGGAACACATTTCACCTGTAGATCTCACAATGTGTGGAGTCAGGCATCCTGTGTTACGTTTTATTGCTGGAGAAACCAAAGCAAGTTCACATAGCTTGTGCATAGTTATTCAGCAGGATTTTGTCAGAGCACCCCTTACTTTGGACCGTTTATGGATGGTGGCAGGGAAAGTTTCAGCATTTGAATGAGTGCAGTGATTTCAAGGGTTTGTTTTAGTGTACATGTGTAAGAACAGTTAATTTAGCTGATATTTCAATATTAAAGTGAACAGAAGGGAACAGTCTGTTCCTTGCCATGACTTCTGAGGTCTGTTTAATTCTGAGAAGCATGTCCCACGTGCTTAAAGAACAGCATCAGAGGGTGATTTCCTGATGGGAGAGAGAGTGAAATCAGAGAGAGCAGTGAAAGAGAGTTACTCCAATTTTGGAGACAGCAAAGACATGAATCACTTCTAAAATCACCACAGAAAAACATTTCTCTTTTCCACTATTATCATCAAGTCACAGATTACCAGAGACTGGGAATGTACAGTTTTCCCAAACTTTCTGTACGTGTTCTTTACCCCCCCTACACCTTCTCTAAGCACCCAGAAATTGTCACTGCTGAGGGTTGGATACTCAGACATTCCCGCCCTGTCTGGCTCTTTGTACAACACCAGGGAAGGGAACAAGAAACAGCTTCAACCAAACTGTCTTATCCTTCACACCAGGACCATTTTAAAATCTCTCTGCAGCCATACTGTCCACATGAACTGCACCAGCTGTGTGCTGGGCTCTGAGCGTAACATAAGGATTACAAAGCCTTGTTTTAATGAAAAAAGCACTCCCAGGCTTCATAAACATTCACCAGCATTCTGCTCCAAAGTTTTTAGCCCCAGATGCCTGAAAATACAACCTGGGTTCCTTATTTCTGACTTTTGTAGGTGCCCTGAAAGAAGCAGCGTTTTGACTTCCTAGAAAAAATTAACTGAGACGATCAACCCAGATCAAAACCACAGGGAAGGGGTTTTCTCCTGAGACAAATGTAATCTTGCTAAAACAGGGGATCTCCCTTCTCTTTGGGGAAGAGAAGGGAGTGAAGTACAGCACCTCTGGGGGTCTCTGATAGTGTTGGAAATCGGTGCTAGGATCTGGTTAGAAGTTTTAGTCGTGGTTTTGCTCGGTACCCAGCTGAAGCCTCCAAGCAGCACCAGAAAAAGTCATTTTTTGTCACTGACAGGTGGAAAAAAACCCAGATTATCCCTAGACAACTGGTCAAAATTTCTGCTTTGCAGAAAAAATCCCCTTTTCCTACATACACTCCCACCAGTAACCTCCGGGCTTTTCCAGAATTTTGACATAAGCAACATAAGCCACGAATCCACTCTGCTCAGGTATATTGTGTTTTGACTGTACAAACACTTTTCTCTGCCTTTCTGACTTGGTGGGCTGAGTCCAGGTCACAGGAGACCTCCACAAGGCGGGGTGGGGACCATAAAAACCCCAATTTGCCAAGGTGCCCTTTGCTTCCAGCCCCTGCGGCGAGCAGAGCGACCAATCATTGGGGGTGCCACAGGGGTGGCATGCCAGCACCCCAAAACATCGGGACGCATCGGGACGCATCCCATCCTTCCTGGGTGCCCTCCTGGAGCCGGTGCCGCAGGCTGCCCCACCAGTGACCGCGTGATATTTTTTCCCTGCTCTCTTTGTTCCAGCTGATGCAGCAGCAAGCGGCCATCATGGCCTCGGTGGCGCAGGGCGGGTACCTGAACCCCATGGCCGCCTTCGCCGCGGCCCAGATGCAGCAGATGGCGGCTCTGAACATGAACGGCCTGGCAGCCGCCCCCATGACTCCAACCTCAGGTACGGGCACGGCGGGCTGGAGAGGGCAGAGGGCAGGGAAATTGAGCCAGGTCCCACAGGACGGCTGGCAGGATCTGTTAGCTCTTTGGGATCCTCCTCTGAGCATCAGGCTCTCCTCCCAGGGAACAAGCGGAAGGACCAGAGGAAAGGGTCTCAAGTGGCACCAGGGGAGGTTTGGATTGGATATTAGAAAAGGTTTCTTTCCCAAAATGGTTGTCAAACATTGTAACCGACTGCCCAGGGCAGTGAACAAGTGTGTGTCCCTGGAGTTATTTAAAAGGCATGTAGATGTGGAATTTAGTGACATGGCTTAGTGTCAGGCTTGGCACTGCTGGGTTAGTGGTTGAACTCAATGATCTTAGAGAGAACATTAACTATTCTGTGCTTCTATGACATTTCTCAGTCTAATCCCATACACAACTTCTCTTTAGCTCCAAGAACCCTCCAAATGTCGCAAATCATCCCACAGTGACCTACACTGGTTTATTGGGGCATGTATATGTCCAAGAGGTCAATGTTGGTGCTATCACAGTCAGGCTGTCCCACAGACTAGCAAAATAGGGTTGTGGTGAGATGCAATATCATCAACAAGATGAATTTTGCCTTTGGGACACATAAGCATTTCCCCCTATTGTGAAATTGGACAGAAGGCACTCAAGGAAGGCATCTGGTGCTACCTGGAATGAGGGTGTGTAGTGAGAGGGTTTCTGGCTGCAGCAACAGAGACAGGTAGCCAGTGAAGGGCTCCCAGGACCTAGCTAGGCTGCAAAAAGCCCATTCTAGGAGCTGCAGTATGGTTCAACAGGCAGAAAAATAAGCTGAGACAGGAACAGGGCTGTCTTTCTTGGGTCTTGAAGAACATAATTATTCCCATTTGGGCAGGAACAGGTCAAAGAATCATCAGCTCTGGTAGTCCTGGAATAACATGTGGCCTAACAGCAGGGGGGAAGGGAAGCAGGAAATGTGGGGCCAAACCTTGAAAGAAGTGAGGATTTGGGAAGCTTTTCAATACACTAGAGTCTGGTAGGGAGGCAGAGGACTCAAAGGTACATCTTTAGAGGACCATTTGTAACAGAATATCACGAGGGAATGGGGAGAGAAGGGAGAGTAAGAAAGACAGATCTCATTCCACAAGACTTTATGGAGACCCAAGGAAAAGCACTTGACTCAAAACTCTTATACTGCACATTTCAAAATATATGTTTACACAATGATAAATGTATAAACAAAAAGTCGATGGAGCTACTGCAAATCCAAATAAAAAAGTGGCTTAATTATATGTGCACCCTTTAAACCCGCTGCTGGCAAGATTATCATATTTGCATTAGCTAGATTTGTTTTGTGTTGGTGGGAGCAGAGAGAACATCAAACAAAGACTGCCTGGAATTCAAATATTGTCAGGGTCTGGAAAGCTGAATCCAGGCAGTAGTGTGCAATGGATCCCCCACAAAAGAGCACAAGCTCTTTTGAATATATATAAGCAAATTCTTGAAAAGAGTGTGTTCTGTGTCATGGCTGTGAGAACACCTGTACAACAGCCAAGTCCTGTGCCCACCAAGTTCTGTGCCATGAAAAACATCCCAGCTCTTTTTTGGGGTAATCATTTCCCCTTCTGCTATGGCCAGTGCCTTTCAGAGTCATAGAATCATGCAATTTAGCTTGTAAAGTCTTTAAGATCATCAAGGCTAACCATTAACCCAGCACTGTCAAGCCCACCACTAAACCATATCCTTCAACACCACATCACTGTGTCTTTAAAACACATCCAGGGATGGCAACTCCTCCATTTCCCTGGGCAGCCTATTCCAGTGTTTGACAGGATGAGGGGACTGTTAAACTCTCGCTGTCAGAACAGAGGAGAGGAAACTCATGTTTTTTACATGCTTTCTGGATTACCCATGACTGGTCATTATTGAAAATAAGATGCTGGTTTAGATGATCCCCTGATGTCTTTCACGGCAGCCGATTTTGCACTCTCCTAATGACATATTTTCAATCACAGAGCCTATTCACTTTGGCATTATTTCAGATTTACCTTGAATGAGTAGCTTCCTTCATGAAAAACCTCTGTGGTGGGTTGTGGAAATGTCCATTGACAATTATTCCTTAGGAGAAATGTTTAGACTTTGAAATTACTCCTTGTATTACTACAACACTCACAAAGCATGTGATAAGATGCATAGAAAATGTTTCACATAATGTCTGAGCAAGCAAGCCTACAACACTAGCAGCAATTTCTGAGTAGCCAGGAGATATCTGAAGCCTAACATTAATTCTCCTGCTAGCTTTTGTTAGCATTCAGAAAGCCAAATGGAAAATGATCATTCTGCTTCATAGCAGGATTTCTAGTCATTGAAGTATATCTTTTTTCTGCCTTGGAAGGAAAATGAAATATTTCAAAGTTCTCAGAGAAAAAAAAAAAAAAAAACAACCAGGCACTAGAAAAAGTGTTTGGAACATTGAAAAAAAAAAATAGAAAGGAAGTGTTTTGATCTTCCTGAAGCAAAAGAAAAATTGTGCTAGGAAAAAAGGTTCTGGTAACCCAGAAGTCCTAGAGGCTTTGGAGGCATTTGCTCAGCACAGTGCCTCTGTGCTGGTTTCTTCAGCCCTCCTAATACAGCTGGTTTCCTCTGCATCCCACCTCTAGCAGAGTGGATTCCTGGGAATATGACCATAGGTTCATTCATTTCCATGGGACCTAGGGGCTCAGAGTTTTGGATCCAGGTAAATCTAATAGATGAGAGACAGTATCCATCTCACCTGGCTTTAACCATAAAAAACTTAGACATCTCATTTGAACTGCAGTCACTGGAGTGCAATAAGCACTCCCTATGGGTAATTCAGACCAAGAAAATTGTAACGCTGTTTGCTGTCATTTTAACAGTCTTCCATCAAGGGTCAGGTTTATCTCACATAACAGTCCATAATTGTGAGGCAATTAATTTGACATTTCTGAGAGTTTGGTTCAAGTTCTACATTTCTCCCATCACTGCAACAATCTGGGTGAAAATTGGGTCTGGCAGTGGGTCTGCTACTCTGTTACCTGCAGAGAGCCGCTAGAAATTAAATTTTATTTAGGCTTCCTTCCTTCTTCCTCCTCTCCCTGCCTCCCTCCCTCCCTCCCTCTCTCTCCTTGTTGTAAATCTGCACCTGGTGTGGCTACAGTAAGAGACCTCAAACGAGGGATGAAATCCACAACTGGCATGCACCACCACCATTTGTTTTCCATGGTGGCATTATGCCAGTTTTACTCCAGCTACAGATCTGACCTCTCCAGGGGGGTTCTTTATAAAAAGAAAATTGAAGAATTCCAATAAATATGCCTAAACTTCCTTAGACATGCACAAAATAGCAAGCACAAATCCCTTGCTGCAATTTTAGAAAAAAAAATTATTTACATTTTCTATGCAAATAAAGGAGAGATCCAGAAAAGCAACTGAAATTTTAAGTAGCCTTTGTGATTTGGAAGCTGATGGCATATGCTAAGAGCATTGCCTTTGGACTTCAGTTGCCACTGCTGGCTCCCTGTACCTCCACAGAGGACATTTTTAAAGGCCAACACCATTTAAATAAGAAAAGGGGAAGCAGCAGCTTGTCTGCTCAGGGTATAAGAAATGAGCTGAAGTACTGCCTTTTTTTTTGGGCTACTCAAATCTGAACATATTAAAATATCTCATGCATCTCTAGCAGCTTTCTTAAAGTACCAACACAGATTTAAGCAGTGGTTAAATTGTGTTATTGGACCAACCCATGATTGAATGCTGCACTGGTGAAGACAATATGTGCAATTGGTTTAAAAGATAGATAACTCCAAAAATTGTGCTTTCAATCAGTAGTATACCCTGACACAGAAAGATAATGTTGAAGTTAAGATAGTTTCACTTCCCATGCCACCTAGCAAGAGAAAAATATGATGTCAGGCTCATTGAAAACTCATTTTTGGTCCCTGAAATCATCCTGAACATGTTGCAAGAAGAACAGACTGTCCAGTCATTTTACACATACATAGGAGAAAGTCAGTGAGGTAGCAGACAGATTTAATTCTCTTCCCAGAAATTCAAGAATTCTCTACCAGTGGGTGACAAGATCCCACTCAGAACATAAAGACAAATTGGTTGTTCTGAAATAGCAGCATTACAGTCCCCCACAGGATGCATCTGGTAAGAAGGAAAGAAAAGATTCCATGAAAGGAACAAATTTGGTCCAAATTTTGCCCCAGTTCATTGAGAGATATCTGTTAAAACAGTATGAAGTCAAGTTTGGACCAAACAGTAACATTAAAAAATGTATCACTGGCTACCTTTAGGCTACAAATAAACTTGACAAGTCTTTTAAGGATCCCTGGTGCTGAGAAAGTTCAGAATGAGTTTGCACATGAAAGGTGTATTCATGAGAGAGTGCAGACAGAGCAGTCCTGGAAATCAGTACACCCACAGAGACCCAAAGGGAATCTGATAGAAACTGCTGTAGAAAGCTGGGGCTGAGGGTTTTTGGAGGTTTTTCAAGCTCGTCTTGAGTGCTTTCTGAACTGGGGAGCAACTGCAAACAATCCATTTATTTGCTCAACAGCTTGGGAGCTTTTTCATTTCTCGGGTGTTTGTTTGTTTTTTTTGCGGGTGGTGGTCACAGCTGTTGTGTCAGCAGTTTTCTCCACAAAGTTGCTGTTCCCAGTACTCACCAGCTCTGCCCTTGTGTCCTCCTCATTTTCAGGTGGAAGCACGCCTCCTGGCATAACTGCACCAGCTGTGCCTAGCATCCCATCTCCAATTGGGGTGAATGGTTTCACTGGCCTCCCGCCGCAGGCTAATGGGCAGCCAGCTGCTGAAGCCGTGTTTGCTAATGGCATTCACCCTTATCCAGGTAAGCCAGACTAATCCTGTGCCCACAGCCTGTTGCCTCAGTCCTAGAGATACTGTCCACACCCACAGGCTTTGCCCAGCAATAACCTGTGGCGCGTGTTCAGAAGGGTTACACCCCGCACCAGCAGGGCTCATTATTGGTGTATTGTGTCTTATGCAGCTACAGTGTTAAACGGTTCAATCTGGATGATAAACATCAAGGGCATGTTGGAGGTGGAAAAACTGTGTACTGAATATTTGAGTGCTCGTCTGCTGGATAGCATGTCTGGTGAATACAGTCAGGACAACCAGCATGGTGTTCTTCAGCTGAAAATTGGCCTGACTCCCGAGCAGTCCGTGCTGGCAGGTCCCCTGCAGGACTCCCAAGGTCTTGCTTCTGGTCAGCCTTGAAGGAGCTGTGCTAAGCCTGTTTGCACCCAGCACTGGTATCTCCTGCTGGAATTCCCCCACAGCCAGATGGCTCTGGGAGGATGATCCAAAGGGTCCATGTGCCCCAGACCCAAGTGGCTTCCTGTGTGCAGGGAGCCGGTGTTGATCTCCAAAATGCCCACTGCACAAAAATCCTGCTGCTTTACCAGGCCTGGGGAGTGAAGCTGCATTGATATAGCCTCTGAATGGACTCGGCCTCACCCTTTGGTGGCACAATGCAGGAGAACTGCTGCTGGGATTCACACTGTGCCTAGCTCAAAGACGCCAGCACTACAGAAATGGTTTCGCAAGCACTGGGAGTCAGAGATGGATGAGGGAGGTTAAAGGATCCATACCTGCCCCTATACCTGTATTTACAAATATACATACAGTCTAAATCTGTAATTACCAATTACCATTCCTTAATGTGCACCTACATTTTTTCAGCATCCTGAGATACCTCTCTCCTCCAACACACTTCCTCTAGAAAGTAATTTTATACAATTTCTGTACACATACTAATGGTAACAATCATAGCAATAAAAAATCCAAGTAAATGTTACTAATTGATCCTAATCACCAGCTGGCAAAGGAATATTTTACCCTGGGGAACTGATAGATTGATCTAGTCTGTTAGGAAATCAAATACTGAATTCAATATTCCAGCCAAAAAGCCCCAAAAACTCTAAGAAAAAATAATTCTTTCAATCTTAGCCAGTCCTGAAAACTCAGAAGATTCATCATCATAGGGAAATTTATGAGCTACAAGGAAAAATACCATATAGTATAGAAATACCAAAGCCTTACCTAGGTATTGACAAATTATTATCCTCCTCCCAACAAACACTTTGCAAACATGGACTCTGAGTTCACCTCTAAGCAGAATTAAAATCAAGGGACTTACTGTACTCATATTAGGCATGTATATATGTGTTGTAGCAGTGTAAGGACAGGGGAGATTTTGGAGTCATCAGAAGACTGCAGAGAGCCCTTAGTGTGTTCAGTGAGTTCAACCACAACACTGAGAAAGCATTCTGTCTTTAAGGTTATATAAACATGGCCATCTGTTCTTCTGTCCATTTATTTCAGTTTGCCTGTTTGCCAGTCAATCATTTCTCTGTTTATTCATCCACTTCTATGTATGCCTGTCCTTTTTTTCTGGTTTATTCAGATCCTTTTAGCCAATTTCGATGATCCATTACTGTGGGTACAGAGAAAATATGTTCTTTCTAGGTGAATCTTAATGACTTGAGCTTTTCTTACTATTCCCAACTACCCCCATAATTAAAGAATACATTAATTATGTTAGGCATTCCATCCATGGTTATATAAAAGCCAATGGCCTTAATCTGATTCTCTCTGAGTTTCAGAGAGGCTTGCTCAGGCAGCAATTCCCAGTAAGTCCCTGCACAAACCCCAAGAGGCTGACACACAGAAAGGTGACAATCATCCTGCCCCTCTTTGCTGCAGGCAGAGAGACTCCCTTCTGCCAGTAGAGCTGACATCCAAACAGTCTGAGCTGTGTAAAGTTTGGATTTATCTCAGGGTAATTTCAGCAATATATTTGCCTTTCTCATTGCTCAGCTTCCCCATAATGTGGTGACACCTTAAGTTATACCAGAGGTGTAAAGGGAACAGTGCCAGGTCAAACACCCACCTCTCATTATGCTTTTGTCTGTCCCTGAAATGCTGAAAGCAAGTCCACATAGCTCACATCACGTGTTTGCTCCATCTAATTGTGTTCTTCTCATGAGCATTTATGCACTCTCCAAACCTCCCCTCCTTGCCACAGGCTTTATTCAGTCCTGGAGCTTAGCAGCATGAAAAATAAAAGGATTAGACATTTATATGGGTAATGAGAACATCCACAGCCATATTAGACTGGATAAAAATGTAGATAGGACACAAAACTTCATGTTTTATGATATAAGCCAGCCACTAATTGCTTGGGGTTAGAAAGAAATTTTCATCACTGGGCAGCTTGTTCCATCATTATGGGATTTTTCTCACTCTCCTCTATTGCATCTCTTACTGCCCTGTGGTTCTGCATGGCTCTGTCACTAAATGCAAGGGTAGAAATAAAATATTACAGCTGAACAGGCAATTGCACTAACACTATAGAGAAGGGAACATCATGACAGTCCCCATCCAAAGCCAACATCTTCCAAACAGCTTTCTTTTATGGTGTATCTCTCATTCTGAAAGTGGCTAAGACTGCTGCTGTATTATGTACATAATCATAGTCTTGCTATGATTATGACTTGCCATATATTGCTTAAATCCTGAATATTGCTTCCAGATACTCCTTCATACTCCACAAAAAAAAACCCTTAAATGTGGGTTCACACCATTACAGCCTGTAGCAGAATATTCTTTGTTGCCTGAAAATAGCAAAACAGGACAATGAATGTCTCTAGAGGCATGGCATCCATATCACTCAGACCCTAATAAATTCCATTAATTGTGCAGTTTGTCTACATGTTCACCTTTCTGACCAGCTGTATTATTTTTGATGCTGCATCCAAAGAACTCCAGAATACCAGTCTTTATAAAAACAAGTCCATACAACGTAATTGTATTTAGTCTGTAATTCCACTCTTTTTTTCTTCTGTCTTCCCCTGTGCTCTTTTTCCAAGATTCCCTTTGACTGGAGAAGGGATGTACATGGTGTCATTTCAGTCAGATCACCAAACCATCCATGCCTTTGTGGCAAATGGATCAATACTTTGAACAGCCCTACTCACCAGGGCTCTGATCACAGCCCCTGTCCCTGCAGGAATTAGCTTTCTCTGTTAATCTGGTCAGGCTATGGATCCATGCAGTGGCACTAAAAAACCATTCCTAGCAGTCATAACCTTTGCAAGCCAGGGTCTCACCTTCTCCAAGATGAGGCAGTACATAATGCCTCAGTGCACTTTTTGCCACAGAGTGAATAACAAGGCAATAAGTATTCCCCCTTCCACTAGTCTGAGCCCCTTTGGAGATTTGACCTTTTTGTGTATTAATTCCTGCCCTTTAATCTTTCAGTTTGCAGAGCTATTGAACGTGGCAATGTGTCACAATATATACTGGGGACAAAGAGCATAATCTGCTGTGCCATGATCTTGTGAGTCACTTTGCAGCAGCACAAGAGCGTTTGCCATTTCCACATTAGTCACAGTAGCAGGGATTGCACTCTTCTGCCAAAGCTTCTTAGCCACCCAGAGCCTCTCTTGTAACCATGTGTGATGTACAGTAACAGTAGACACCATCTGCACTGGCTTCTGCTGTGTCTCACATCATCAGAATTCCACTCTCTGCTAACAGGTCCTGCCCTGCCCAATTGCATTGTGAGGGACTAGACAATATTCTCACTCCAAAGATAAAGCCTCTTTGGTAAGAGAAAGGGGACACAGAGATGAGAAAATCGGGAGACCAAAGGGTAGCAAGCAAGAACGAGAAGGGACTGGCTGTCAAAGAATCAGTGAAATGAGAAAACTGGAAGAAGGAACAAAGCAGAGCTCCCAGAAAATTAAAGGCTGCTCTACAATCTTCTGTCCAGTGCCCAGAAAGAAGTGGAAATACATTACATAGCATCTCACACCCCCTTACTGCCCCTGGGCCAAAGGATGTGCAACTTGACCAGAGCCAGGGATGGCCCAGCAGTTTGGCAGCTTTGCGGAGCCTTAGATGGGGAATGCTTTAATGAGTGCTGAGTTCTTCAGCTTCCTCACAAGGGGAAGCAGAGGGGCAGGCACTGATCTCCTCCCTGGTGACCAATAACAGAACCTGAGGGGATGGTCTCAATTTGTGTCAGAGGAGATTAAATTTGAATGTCAGCAAAAGGTTCTTCACCCAGAGGATGGCTGGGCACTGGCACAGGCTCCCTTAGAATGTAGTCCTAGCACCAAGTCTGACAAGTTCAAGAAGCATTTGGACAATGCTCTCAGGCACATGGTTTAACTCCTGGGGATCCTCTGTGCAGGATTTTGATGATCCTTATGGATCCCTTCCTAATCAGGATATTCTATGATTCTGATTAAGTGCATTTGGTCTGGAATTAAGTTGCTGAGTTAAAGAAAGCTAGGTCCCCTCCATTCCACATTAAAAGTGTGTCACCTCATTCATTATTTTCAGGCACACAGTGGTTCTGTTTCTGACTGCTCACCACTTCCAGGTCCATCTTTCCACTCCGCAGAGCCAGCAAAAGTTTCTCCTCCACCACCACCACTCCCCTTTAGCAGACAGTACATCTGGGCTAGCAAGACAGCAATCTTCACACCCTGTTCAGGGTCCAGCCCTCTCTGGTGAGGACCAGCTGTCAGTACAAAAAGGCAGCCAAACTTTTGTGCCCACATTTTTCCAAGTCACCACTGAGACAGGCAGTAAAGGTGTGCCTCACAGGGGAATTCCTGCTCCGTAGCAACTCATGACTTCGTAACTGAACCAAGACCATCCATTCATTTTCCCTGGTTCAACAAAGAGGTATCAGGAACCAATTTCACCCACCACCTGCAGAGACAGCCTTCAGACTCCATCTGCATTTATTATCATTACCCAAGTTAATTTTGCAGCTTGTCATTGAACAGTACTGCTGATAGACAGGCTGCTGCT